TCTCAGCAACATTTTTTCTGTCTGATTAGTTTAAATCTGTACTGTGTGTCACTGCTGTGCACAAATTTGAATGTTTTGAATTTTTCCCATGTCATTGTGTAACAAATAAAGACGGCATCATTTTTAACATTACTGATGTAATCTTGGTGTTTTTTTTAATCCTATAATTAACATGTAAATACCCACTGGTATTCATCACAGTACTTAATTTTGATGTGGATGAAGTAAGAGTAGGTACAGGCAATACAAAGTACTCTGGAGATATACTACGATAAATGAAGACCATCTTAGTTATCTCTGTACATCATAAAACATTTATTGCCTTTGTTTATTGCTTCCGTGTTTTTCAGTTCAAAACCAATTCAATATTTTTTAAGAAGGATCTGATGAAGCAGTACCAATAGAAAGTGTGTTTAATACTTTTCTCTACCTGTAATTTGTACATCTCACAGGAAACTCTGATATCAGGTTGGTGGTACAACTCCCCATGGACTGATCCTGTACAGAAACCTGCAGTCTGAGAAAAATCAAGGAGAAAAAAAAAATCAGTTCAGCTCAGCATAAAACACATGAACAAAGATCAAGACGCGTCAACCCTCTTCGATGAAAGCATCCATTACTCCAGCCTGTGCAGATGGCACTTTCAGGAGTATGATTAGTCTGTCATGTCATTCAGCAGCAGATCCAGGAACAGCTCCAGTGAGGGGTGAAGAGGAAGACGCCCACAGAACAATGTTTATTTGGTTTGGAGAAGTGTTAATTAGTGTCATAACAGTGTCACTGACATGACGGTGATCAATGTTTTCAAATTAATGGAGCGTCATCAGACAATATTTATCCATGGACTGACTGTAATGGTGTGATTTGTAATTATCATTTATGAACTTATTTAAAACACCATTTTTTACAAAAAGAGTAAAACGAACTGTTCACATCGAATGCCACCATACAGTCCAAGTAAAGTCCATACACATTGAGGTGCATCTTTCCATATTTAAATTAAATTAATTTAAAGTGAGCCATTAATGACGTATGGTGACTGTTACTGTGGGTTTTTTTGTTTAATTTTGTATAAAAATTACAAAAAAATAATTCTAGTAGAATATGTGATATTTAAACATACATCACAGTCGGTATTGATTGTGGAGGGTTATTATTACTGCAATATTAACTGTAAATGGATAGTACTGTTGTCAGATTATACTATGATGATCATACTATAGACAGTACTGTTACCATGTTAAAATACACTAGAAATAGAAAAAAACCCTCCAGTTGTATTTGTTTCATAGTTACAGAAGTTCACTTGGTTTCTCATAAAAAGCCAATGAAGGATTACTATATGCAGCTTTTTTAAAATTTGTAGGAACCAAAAACTATATTATTGGAGGTATTTCAAAAAGAATAATTTATAATCCCAATCTAAATTATATCCTGATGTGTGGCCACTCAACCCTTAAAACTGCATCTTTGTCAAACTGTTGTGAAGAACGCTAGAATCTCCGGCCTCACCTCTGTGTCAGAAAGCGGTGACAATTTCTGGCAGTGGCCTCTCTGCGTCGCCCCCTCTGGACACTGCTGGACGGTGAACTCCACAAAACTGGTTTTCACTGGCACAGTCTAAAATTTACAAAAAATGTAAATGGTAAAAAAAACAACCACCCATCCATTTTCATCACCTTATCCATTACCGGGTCGCGGGGGCAGCAGTCTCCATCACCTCCACCCAAATCACACTGCACCGTACCAACACCCCTGAACATTCCTGTGGGTGGTGAGTCCACTGGAAGGTACCAACCGCCCTAACTGAGATTTGATCTTGCCCAGGAGGTGAACTCTGGGGTTCTAAATTTTAAACCTACTCTCCTTTAACCAGTCGTTGTCCAGTAAAATCAACCCAGCAGCATTTTATTAACACCTGCGTTTCTGGACCTACCTGAGCTGCAGCTCTGGTGATCATTTTTATTCCGAGACCTACACCAAGCGTGGAGCGTCTCTTATATGATGCTAAGGTGAGGTGAGCAGAGTGCACAGCCTGTGGGCTGTCTGTGGGGAGCAGGAGGGGACAGGTTGGACAGACCTGCTGCAGCGTCCCTGGAGGATCTGTGAATATGAGACAGAGACGGAGAAATAGAAACAACTTTAACTAGAACATTAATGTCAGGTTCCGGGCCTCTATGGAGTCCTAGAGATTCAGACTGAAGCAAAAACTTCAACATCCTTTCAGGGCTCAGAGCTGTTTAGCTGCAACATGAAAAAAAAAAAAACAACAGAAGCAACATCTTGGAGACGTTGTTATTGAAAATAACATATGTCTTTAACACAAAACTATTTTCATGGTCAACCTCTATATGAGTAAGAGTCTTGATGCAAACACGTCATTGACATGACTGTACCTGACATGACTGTAAAGGGTTAATCATCACCATGACAGCATAACTATTCTAAAAGGCATTACCTTGACAGTTTCCATGCTTTTCATTTCCTTTATAAAAGCACCAATTCAAATGTAATGAAAAATAAAAAATAAAAAAAATAACCAGAAAGACATTTACCGAGAAAATGTCATTTTCTACTCTTGGGTTTATTTTATTTTTTAAAATTAAAAATCATCTTGCATTTGCGAAGAAAGTCTCAGTATGTACGTCCTCGAAAGCTTTTCACCTCATAAGGAATTAAAAAAAACGTGGTTGACGTAATGTTTATCCATCCATCCATTTATTCATCTGTTATCTACAGCGTCGTCCTTGGCAGTGTCGCGGGCGCTGGATCTATCAATCCCAGCTATCGACGGACGACGATGATACATTATACTGTATATAATGCTATAACAATTATGTACAATATCGTTTCAGTGTCTCGATGTATTCAGATGAATACTTTTGACAGATTTTCTTTCCTACTCCTGAACATAACAGGTAATTGTATTCAGTTTGAATCATCCTGTAGACCGTGGTGTTGACGTTACCTGGCACCAGCGTGCAGTCGTAGCTGTACAGGTATGAATAGCCCTCTGGTGTGTGCAGGACTGTGGTGTTGCAATTACCGGAGATTTGCTGCAGGAAAAAAACAAACAAAAACAAAACAGTGACAAATGATGACAACTGACTTTTGCACGGCAACATCATGAAAATAATAAGAGAAGAATTAAATCACTGCTATGTGTGCAGTGAGACATAATAAATGACTCATCGTTAAACTCGTTTCCAGTCAAAACCCTCGCTTTGTTTACGATTCTGACAGAGACGTTTGTGAGAGCGCATGTCCAGCTGCTAATGTTCAGTGTTGTCGGTAAAAGATCTTTTAAGTATTTGGTTCATTTAGCAGTTAAATTCAGTTCCGGTCTGACACAAACGTTGCACTTTCACAAAGTATAAGCCTCCACAGATGCATGCTGGGAGTTAAGACGGTATTTTAGTCTGGAGGCGCTGCAGTGAAACAAATCTTTATCCCACAGTTTATTAAATATAACTGGACTCTAGATCTTTATATGCTTTTAAATGGGTTTGAAAGAAATTGAGTTGTGTTCTTTTTTGTCCCTTTGAATGGACACTCTTTAGATTATCACCATTAAAACTACACCAAATCTTAAAAAATCAGTTTTTAACAGTTGCAATTTCAATCATTTATAGGTTTCATTTATAGCAACATGCATTTTGATTATTTTTGAAAGGTTTCATATTGTGTAACAGATACTTTTTGAGACATTTTAAACAATATATATATTGATGCAAATTGTTATTATCTCTGTAATTCTAAACTAATTAATTTAGTGTGCTCAAAATTCACCTAATTATGGTCTTTTTAATAAGAGAGATGCAGCTGACCATCATTATTATTAATACATACCATTTAAAGATGACTGAAAACTGAATCTGGACCAAAGTCAGAGACTTTCTGCATTAGAGTGTGTGTGTTTATTTGTGTACGTGAATGTGTGTTAAAATGTCCTACCGTTTCCATGAATGGTCTGACGTCACAGCGTTTCCATGGTTTCGGGCTGCCTATGTGACATTTGGTCTCCAGGACGTCTAAGTCCAGGTAATACACGTTTCCTGCTGGGCCCTGTTGTTGAAATGCAAACACAGTTGGAGAGAGTAAGAGAGCCAAAAAACATTTTGACAACCAATCACAGCAAAGAGTGGATGAAGATGTTGTAGTTATTTACTCTCTAACTCTTCAGGATAACATTTATGAGATCATTTGTTTGACTCACTAACATGTTGTTCTGTATTGATTTGAACTCAAATGTCAACACTTTGTGCCGGTGTGATGGCAGCCTCCTAAAACCTGATCTGTTCCACGTTAGGTCTACGATCGCTGTGGGTCGCTGACATCATGAAGTTCATAAAGGCTGCTGTTGTGCAAGGTTTGCTCCCGACGGTCCTGAACTGAAATGACCTGAACTTTTATGAACAGCGGTTTCACTATAAAGATTTTTTTTATGAGGTGTGAAAGAGGACGGCTTCTGGTTTTCTAAAAGGAAATTACGCTCTTTCATTTTAAACATTCCCTCTTTATCAAAAGCGACACGTACAACAAAATGGCCCTTCACCACAAAGTACAGAAAACAAATATTTATCCTTGACAAAGCCTTTGGTGGTTTCACGTTAATGTAAGTGCAGCAATTTCACTTTATCTCTCAACGCAGTCCAGTGGTTTCCAAACTGAACTTTTGGGGTTTCAGTGAGACCTTGAGGTATACGTTATAATTTTTTCATTCTTTTATGAGGATTTTTGATCAGATTTTTTTTAAGTACACAGTCATCTCTGACGACGGCTGCTTTAATCTATCAGCCTGTGTTTCTCCACAAGGGCATTAGAGCGACAACAGAGAGGAAAATAACCTTTACACTCCACTTCCTCTGTTAAATGTGTACAAACAACCCACTGACAGAAATATGAAACAACCCCAGGCAGCTGCTCCAAACATAGGACTTTGTCTTTTTGTACCAACCTGAGCGTGCAAGTGCACGTTTGCAACGCGGTTCAAGGCAAACTTGTATCCCTCCTCACGGTCCTCATTGATGTAGGTCACAGCCAGACGAGACAGTTTCTCCACGATTTTGTCGTTACAGGGCACGGGGGCCAGTTCAATGGGCCCTGTGGAGAAGCCCTCACTGTGGGCAGTGGACGGCAGGAACAGCAGCAGGAACAGCGGGCAGATGTACGACGACATGGCTGTAGAAGTTCTATGATCAGCAGAAGACCGAGGCTGCTGGAGAGTCAACTTTGTTCTGTTGTTTGCCTTTTAGTTCAAGCAGTGACTTTTGGAATCAAAACAGGACATAGGTGTTGGACTGAGGCCAAGGACAAAGTTTGTGCCATGGGAGTTCGGGTGGGTTTTTGTGAATGGGAGTCTCATGGGGTGGATTATATAAACTGACCAAATGTTTCATTTGTCTGTACATTCATTCTAAAATTAATTCACGTAATACATCCTAAATGTAACTAAATTAATTTCTACCCTACATATGTTTCTGTAATGTTCAAGTTACTCTAGGTCACATATGCCAAACCCAAGGCTCGTGGACCAAATCCAGCTGATCACATCATTTTATGTGGCCGATTAGAACTTAATATGCATTTAAGAAGTCTTAAAGTGAATGTCTATTGTATATAGGCTATGCAGTACTAATGTTTACTGGATGGGTTCAAATTCAGTGGGCAATTTCTGTTTGTGTAAAATGTACATGACCAGTAATTCACAATTCTAATCAAGCACTTACCAAAAACTACATCCCCCATAATGCACACTGATTTTATGACAAACCTCCAGGTAACTTGGCTATTAAAAATACCAACAAGTGCGTGCTTTACTTTTGTTGTTAAAAGAAAAAGTTGCTACAGTCTGTTTTAATTTTATATTTCTGGTAAAAGTATTTATCAGCACAAAACTGTCCAATAAAAGTAAATCCCATTTGTCTCACAACTCAGTCTGTTTTAAATTAATGTTGACGTCTCTAGTTTAGGTTAATTCTTCTAGTTGTAATTTTAGTATTTTGCCACTGGGGGTCACTGTGTGTTTAATGTCGCACAGAGTGGAAACTTGGTAAAACTTTGTGTGCATTCACGAGACGGAAGTGGGTTAACGATTCACCCAACATCAGTTGAACTATTCTTAGCACTACTCTCTGTCTGGGTTTTTATTTCTTATAGAAACATAACCTCTGACACGTGTGTTTTCTATCTTATATGTAATAATAATAATACAAATGTAATCTTAGATGTAAATATTAAAGTCAAGAAGTACAGTATTTAAATTAGCATTGTGTTTGTAGGGAGTAGGAAAATACAGTATCATCAAACAAAGGATCACTAGACATATTTGACTATTGGTCTTTCATGTTGACAAATTATTTTTACAAAAACCAACAACATTTTAAATGATAAAATACCAACCCAGAATAGTCACTGCGGCACTGGGATTTATTCATGAAGACTGTGCCTGTGATTTTATAGGATAAATCCCACAAAGAGCTGAGGGAGTGCCAGTCAAAGTCATTCTGAAGTGGAGCGGGGTTAAATAAATCAATAAACAGAAATTGGTGAAGTGAGCAACAGACAGACATCAAAACAGGTCGGCCGGGGAGGACGGCATGAATGACTACTGAGGAGAGTCACTGGGTGACATCACCGTCGACCTGAAACGGCCAGAGGTGAAAGTGTCACGATCTGCTCCGACGTTGGGAGATAAGTGGTGCGAAAGAAAGAACCTGCTAGTGGTCCGGGAGATGGAGAAGAGAACCGTTCTTTGAAGATCAACACAGACGGTGTCGTGACTGATTCTGGGAGAGGTGATGACGATGAAATCACTCTGGGGTTTTTCTCTAGAGAAACCCACAGACAAAGGACTCCAAACCTATCATTGGGAACATCTGTCATGCAGAGAGACAATAACACTCAGCTCTTTGTCAACACAAGAGCCTCAGTAGTAGAGATAGGCCTTTGATCCATTTTGAATTTTTTAGTCAACAAGGTGAGAGAGAGGGGGAGAAGAGGGGGTTCATACAGCAGAACAAATCCCACTAATATCCCAGAAATTTAAAATGTGTGTTTTATATTTATCCGCTGTGCGAGTTCATGCCTGGGTTTTGACCGTGCAGAGTCACAGACTGCGAGCGTCGGTGTTAGCAGCATCCAGTTCTGTTGCAGCAGAGAACAGAGTGGAGTCTGCTGGGGGGAGATAAGAGCGACGGAGGCTGCTCTGAGGACTCGCTCCACCAGCACGTGGCTACACCCCAGTTAGACAAACCTGTTTTGATGTGAGCACAGAGTATTCTCCTCTTTTTCTCACTCACAATTCAGCTACGCCAGAGCCCAGATAGAAGGCAACTGCTGCCACCAGGGCTTTAACGCTGCTTAGTCCAGGTACGAGGCTAAAGATGGAGAGGGAAGAGGGGGGGGGAGGGGGGGAGGAAAGTAGAAGATAAAAATAGAAGAGTAAGGGGATTGGAGAATGAGAGGAGAGGAGGAGAGAGGAAAAGAGAGCAAAGCAGAGTCAGCAGCTTTACTCCCCACCTCTGGTACTTCCTGTCACCAAACACCCCCCCCCCCCCCCCCCCGCCCCCCCCCCCCCACCCCCCCCCCCCCCCACCTCGGCTCTCCGCCTCCCTTCAAACCCAGACTCAAAACTTTCCTCTTTCCTCAAACCTTCCTATCATTTGAAACCTAACATTTTCCCCCTCCAACCCCCCGACTCATTTTCTGTTCTCTTCACATCTTTGGTTTTATTATTGTACTCATTGCTTCGCTGTATTTTTAAAATCTCATTCACTGTGCTTTATTAGTCTACAGTAGAGTCCTCAGGTGTCGTGAAACACGACTTTAAATAAGAAGTATTATTACTTTAAAGAGTAAAGTGGAAGTGGAGGAGCAGAGGAGAGGAGAGGGTTTGTGAGTGGAGAGGATTTTCCAGTCTAACCTTCTTTAATATCCCTCACGGCTGTCAGAAGTCTGACTCCAACACCGTCATTTTCAGGAAAAGCTAATTAGTTGTTGTTTTCAGTGGAGAATTTCAGTCTTCACAGTTTTCACAGACCTTTCCTCAGTGCCAAAACACAAAACTGGCAGAGATCTCCTGTGTCACACATCCTGTCAGTAGACAAAGAGAATTTTCTCTCCTGACTCGACCATATATTGAGCAGAAAGAAGAAACCCGTGCCATTTCCCCCCACTTTCTCTTTATAATCACAGTCTGGTTGCACAATCTGTGACTCTCTACCCATAACATTTGTATTGGTTTGTCATCAGTGCTGTGATCATCTGTTATCAGTGGAATAGAATAGAATTATGTGGGGTTTTTTTTTTTTTTTACCTCGGCTTTATTTTTAGAAAACCATCACATTAAAGTCAACTTCTCATGCAGAACCTGTGTATGTGGGTCTTAATGTCTCTGATCAGCATTGCCAAAATCCACAGATTTCCAGCATGAATGGTTGATGATAGAGACAGATGCACGTGCTTAACTGCACAAAGTCTAGATGGCTGCATTATTATGTTGAATTAGTGCTGAAAGAAATAAATGTGTCAGGAAAACATGCAAACATAACTCCTGCCTGGAAAATCAACAAAATAAAGTTTTCAAAATGGATGTTGGGTTTGATTCACGCCAGTTCAGAGGAGCGCAGACAAAATTGAGAAAATATTCATTTTGCATAATTCTCTGAGGTGTTTTTTTTCAACTATCTTTGTTTTCCTGAAAGAACTGCTAAAACAAATTAAACCAGATAAATGTCAGAGCCAAACTGAATCGTTCTACAAACACGTACAGCAAATCTGTGTTCATTTTCCTCCTACGGTCCAGAAACATCTGCATTAGGTTAATTAGACACTCTACATTAACCATAGTCGTAAATGTTAGTGTAAAGGATTGTGTGTCTTTCTATGTGTCACACTGTCATCAGAGCAGCCTGTTCAGATCAGGCTCCTCCTACCAAAGAGCAATAGACTAAAAAACTCCTTGGTCCATCGGGCAATTAAACTGTTCAACTCTTCACTGGGGGGAGGAGGGCGAACAAATGACTTGTGGGAAAGGGAGTAGGTGTAATAACCCAACAATAATCAGTGCAATAACCACAATCTGAAATTCCATTTACTATTATATTTCTTTGTTTAGTATCACATTTCTATATACCATCATATTTCTATTTCTATTATACTATTATGTGTACATATATATGCATATATATACATATTTACATTTTTAAATATGTATTTATATTTGAATTTAAAACATCATAAATGTATTTGCAGCGCCCCCTATTTGGATTCCACTGGAACATTTAATCAAAACAACAAACAAAAACAACAAAATAGAATCTTCTGATCTCCAGCAGACCACTATAGGTACAGGTGGTGGTGGTTAGTGACCACTGGTCCAATCTCACCTGGCTCAGGTTTCAGACTTTTCATTGACGCTCGGAATAAGGCAGCAGTTAGAATGAGCCTCAGCGTCAGCGATTTAAAGACAACACAGGACACAGACGAGCTGCCAAGACACGAACGACACGACGAGCACATCGCACCGCTTTGAGTCCTGATGAAAAGCCAGGGGTCAGAATTCGGGATGTATTACAGAGCGCCTGAGCCGCGATGATGATGCACAGTGTGAGAGAGCTGCTCAATCACTGGATGTGATTGAAGTAGCATGAGTGTGTGTGTGTGTGTGTGTGTGTGTGTGTGTGTGTGTTACTCCAAACTCAGGCCCTCGTGTGTTCTCCGCTCCTCATTTTACCTTCTCTGCCAACTCACAGATGCATCCCCATCAGTCACCTGCTCCTCTGCCCCCTGCTGGACGTCAGCACCAGGCCTGCTTAAGAAATATAATTATTTGGCAGTAATGCTATCGGTGCTTGACGTTAAACATTAGTGTTTGTGACTAATCCTACTGGAACCGAGTTTTTTTTTAGAACGCTGTCTTCAAGTGGCCGCCGCTGCATTTCTACATGTGGGTGAAAGTAAGGGAGGGAGGGGAGAGGAGGGAGGGAGGAGAGGGAGAAAGTAGAGGTTACAGAGAAGTCAGTGAGTCACTGCTTGACCTTGTCTAACAGACTGGGTATGAAACTCGTGGCAAGTGAAACTTTTTTAGCCCGAAAGCCTATTAATACACCCATACAGACCTCTTTGATGTCTGTACTTAAAAGCACCACTAACTCACCCTGGAGGAAAAGCTTGGCACAGTGAGGATGTTTGGGAAGTCTCAGTCTGCCACTGTGTGAGAATTAGTGTGCATGTGTGTGTGTGTGTGTGTGTGTGTGT